GCTTAAGAACATATAAGAAATAAACATAGCATTCAAGATGTTTGTTTTTAAAGAAAGTTAATGCTGGAGACAGCATTTGACTCTAATTATACGATAATGTCTGTATCTGTAATTTTAACCTTCACCCTATTTCCCTTCTTACAAGACCCGATTTCTGGAACAAGTAGGTCAAACTATAACGTCATTCAGTTATATGCTTCAAATTTGTAAGTAACATATATGATTAGTCTGATAATTTTGTCTTGTGGCATTAGTTTTATTTACTATTATACAAAGCGTTATCTTAAATAGCATCATGAACCAACATGCCCAGCTGTAGATGTTTTTGTTATATACACGTTAATAATTTATCTCAGTCTTTTAATATCTTCCTGATACTATTTTAAACAAAAAAAGAAGGAAATAAGTTTTCGGTTTTATTTTGGAAATGACTTTCATTCTCCGTATATGAAGAAGAATGGAGGATTTATCTTCCTTTAATGATGCATATTTTTATCATTATTTGTATTTGTTTTCCGCCTATTTCTTACAAGATTTGACCTTGATTTCCTGAACCTTTTCATAATTACTCTTTCCTTACATACTATCACTTTTCCAAATTTCTTTTTTGGTGTTTAAATTTTCTTCTACCATTGTTTTTTGTTTTGCTTCCAAGGAAGTGCTTTCTGTAAAGCTTTGAGGAAATAAAATGTTTATTTTGTTAAAAGTTCTCTGTGACACATATTGCTTTTGTTATTCTCAAGTTTGTAATACCTTTTGGCTTCCAAATTATCTGCTACCATTTCTCTCAGAAGTCTGGAATGTTTTGTCTATCTTGTTGATTTACTCAAAGAACCAACTCTTGGTTTCATTGATTCTTTGAAATGTTTTATCTGTTTCTAATGTTTAGATTTCAGCCCTTAGTTTGAATATTTCCAAGAGTCTATTCCTCTTGGTTGTGTCTGCTTCTTTTTTTCCTAGGGTTTTCAGGTGAGCCGTTAAGTTGCTTGTATAAGATGTTTCAAATTTCTTCTCAAAGGGACTTAGTGCTATGAGCTTTCCTCTTAGCACTGCTTTTATTGTGTCCCATAAGTTTGGGTATGTTGTGCCTTCATTTTCATTGAATTTCAGGAAGTCTTTAATTTCTTTCTTTATTTTTTTTCCCTAACCCAGCTGTCATTGAGTAGCGAGTTGTTAAATTTCCATGTGTATGTAGGCTTTTTGCTATTTCTGTTGTTGTTGAGGTCCAGCTTTAGTCCATAGTGGTCAGACAGCATACAAGGGATGATTTCAATCTTCTTGTATCTGCTGAGGCTTGTTTTGTGACCAAGTATATGGTCTATTTTGGAGAAGGTTCCATGAGATGCTTAAAAGAAGATATACTCTATTGAATTTGGGTGAAAAGTCCTGTAGACATCTATTAGACCCATTTGATTTAGGACCTCTGTAAATGCCATTATTTCCCTATTTAGCTTCTGTCTAGATGTTCTATCCCTTGATGTGAGTGGAGTGTTGATGTCTGCCACTATTAAGGTGTTGAGATCAATGTGTGATTTTGGCTTTAATAATGTTTCATTTACAAATGTAGGTACTCTATTATTTGTGGCATAGATGTTCAGAATTGTGATATCCTCCTAGTGGATTTTTTTTCTTTGATAAGAATGAAGTGCCCCTCCTCATCTTTTTTGATTAATTTTGTTAGAAAGTCCATTTTAGTAGATATTAGGATAACTATCCCTGCTTGTGTTCTGGGTCCATTTGCTTCAAAAACATTTTTCCAGCTCTTTATTCTGAGGTAGTCTTTATCTTTGTTGCAGAGGTGTGTTTCTTGGATGCAGCAGAATGTTGGATCCTGTTTCTGCAACAATTCTGTTAGTCTGTGACTTTTTATTGTAGAGTTGAGTCCAATGATGTGGATAGATAATAGTGACCAATAAATGTAAGCTACTTTTATTGTGAAGTTAGTGGTTTTACTGTGATTCATTGCTTGTTTTTGTTGTGAAAGTTATCTGTATCCTACATTTTTTTTGCATGTAGTTGTTTTCGTTGAATTAGAGTTTTGTTTTTGTTTTTTTTTCTAGTATCTTCTGTAGGGCTGGGTTGCTGTGTAGATATTGTTTATATTGAGTTTTGTCATGGAATATTTTGTTTTCTCCATCTATGTTGATTGAAAGCTTTTCTAGATATAGTAGTCTGGGTTGGTGTCTGTGGTCCCTTAAAGTCTGAATGACATCTGCCTAGGCCCTTCTGGCTTTCATAGTTTCTGTTGGGAACTCTGGTGTGATTCTGATAGGTCTACATTTGGCCAAACTAACTTAAAGGAAGAGAGAAACTATCCAAATTAGCAAAATCAGAAACCAAAAGGGCGACATAACAACATACACTGAAGAAAAAAGAAGTCTGGCAATACTTGGCTCCATATCCAGGCTAACAGACCAAATAAAGTAAACAGTGACATCATTTTGTGTAAGGATTTGCTGCTCAGGTAATCCCCAATAACAGTGCCACATCTCTTCATTGTGATTCTAATGCTACATGCAGGAATTCCTCTATATTTGGTCCTGAGATGTTAGCCTTCATCTAGCAGCATTTTGGAAGTACAGTGGGAATGGGTAGGTAGATTAGTAATGTAAATCAAAGTCCTGCCCCAAATAAATGTCGTTCAAACTCTCATCAAGAAATAACCTTACTGAAGGTGGAGAAGAAAACCAGATTCAACTGCCCAGTATGAATGATGTCAGTCTTTTAATCATTTTAAGTCCCACTCTCTGAAGTAATTGACAGCCATTCTTCGTAGGTATTATTGAAATGTTTGTCCTCAAATTCATGAGATTGCCTTGGAAGATTTTCTTTCTATTCGCAAGAAGTTCATAACAACTCTATTATTTGTTTTCCTGGTGTATGGGTCTCATTCATACCCTTGGTTTTGGAGAGAAAGTCAAGACCAATTTTTTTGTTCAATACATCTGAATTGACAATTACAATGAGTTCTAAATCTTAAGTACATCATAACAAGAGAAATGTAGCATGTCAAGTAACCAGAGAGAGTCTGTTTTCCACAAACTTATTTCAATGTGTCATGTCAAACCTATTCATCTGCAAGCTGTATTTAAATATAAGCTGCAGACCATACATAGAGACAACTTAGACCCCCTGCTCAGATGTAGCCCATAGACAGCTCAGTTTTCATGTGGGTAGTAAGGAGAGAAGATACAGTCTCTGACATGTACTCAGTTGCTTGTTCCTTGATCACTTCTCCCTGGTGGGATGACCTACCCAGCTCACAGAGAAACAGGATCCAGGCAGTTCTTGATGGGACCTGATAGGCTAGGGTTAGAGAGTAGGCGTGAAGGACTTCCCTGTCAGTGGACTAGGGGAGAGGGATAGAGGAGGAACAGGGAGAAAGGGTGGGACCAGGAGGAGATGAGGGAGGAGGATAAAACAAAGATACAAAGTGAATAAATTGTAAATAATAATAATAATGATAATAATGTGTTTATAAACAATAAGAATTACCTATAGCAATCCAGGAAATTTTTATTATTGCTCCATATTCATAAATAAATTTATGGTTGATACAAATCACAGGATGTGTATTTTAAAATCAGTTCCTTATAATTTTAGCTAGAATTTGCTAGTGTGCTAGTGTGGCTTTAAATGTTTGTTATCACTCCTTTAGAAAACACACACTAACACAAAACATATCCTCCTCTTCTATTTTACTGTCCTTTCTGTTTTCCTATATTTGTACTTTTTATCTTTCTCTTAAAACATATCTTTATTCTTTCCAATGTTTTATGTATAGTCACCATTAGCTTTCATCTGTCTCTTTTTCCCTCTTTGCTGCTATCATAAACAAACCAAACAAACAAACAAATATATGACCTATGTAAATTTGTTATTTAAATAAGAAAATCTTTTCTCTGACTTAAGCATTTTTGTTATTAAATATTGTCCTTTCAAAACAGTGTATCATCTGTAAGCTATAAAGATAAATTCAAGGTAAATAAATAAGAACAATGGAAATTACATTAAAAACTCAGAGATAAGATATTCTTTTTTGCCTTGGAAAGACTTTCATGAAGAAAATGTACTTAATTGAAATCATTTGTCTTTCGGCTAACTGACTTTTTCTACCTTATAAAACTGGCATCTTTATGTACTGTACCACTTACTTTTGTGACCAGTAAGATTGTATAAATAAAATTCTTTCAAAGTAAAATTTTGTTTCTTATTCCGAAGCATGAACATAATTCCTTAAATGAAGTGATTCTAGGAATGCAAGCAAGGGAAATTTCCAAGTCGACATCACAAAATGTGTTGGATGGACACAAAGATGTGTGCCCTGACTACAGTTTATGATTTCTTGCCCATTTGGACTTTCAGTGTAAACATGAAATATACTTTAATATAAATCTGATAGAATACAATACTTTGATGTCAACTAAGACCACAATGTCAGTCCTCAAAGAGTGGGTTCAAACCTTGGCTTGAGCACAGTGCTTTCAAAGTTGTTTCAGTTCTCTTGGCTCCAGCCTAATTTCAAGGAAAATGGGGATTTGTCACCCAATATTGTTATATGAGCTTAAAAGTCTCTTTTTAAATATAGTACTTGTCTCACAGAGAACATTCAATGAGCAGTTGTTAATATTATTAAAGAACATCCAAATACATTTGACTAATATATATAAAACTTTATCAATCACAAACAAAATTAATTCAGCTGATTAATATCTATCTAGACATTAAGCAAATGAGGTATGTACTCAACAAAGTCTACATTAAATAAAATGGTTAATGGTTGGTTATGTGGGAGAGGTACTTTCATTTTAAAGGTTATAAAAGGTTTCAGAATGTTATTTTTTTCAGGTCAGTAGCAATGGTTTTCATCTCAAAATATTCAGAGGAGCCACTTGATTAACAAATATTCTTGCATTGCTTGTTATGTGTCCTGCTGTGTTTATCAACCATGCAGAAGAAAATTCCTCCTTTTTATGCTTGGATACTTTCTTTTTCCACAGACATTTCCACTGGGCCTGGGAGATGGACAATTCTATTCCTGGACAGATGGTCTGAGAAGAAAAGACTGGCATGACTATGAAAGCATTCAGAAAGAGGCTTTGCGCTCAGGTACGGACTTCAGAGTAAGATAAAAATTCTGGTTTTAATTCAGTGCTTTGTTTATCCCTGCAAAATTCTCATATCAGTTTTTCTTCTGCATGCAGTAAAGATGTCTGTCTTATGGGAACGTTAGAGCTCAACTATGGACAGAAACAAATGACTTCACATTTAACAGACCAAACAATGAGTGGCCTTTCCATGGCTGCAGAGAAGGCCATGGAAAATTTGCACAACTATATTATCTTGTATTTCCAAGCCCTTTTAAAATAATACTGTGAATGATCTTGGGATTTATCAATGAGACATGAGCTGTTAAATGTGAGCCAGAAGTACACATTGGGATGAATTGTATTTAAATGGCAATGTAAATCAACTCAGTCATGCCACAGGTTTTAGCCATTTTAATTAGTTGTGGAAACTCTATAAAGTACAGCATCTAGGAATCTGAAATTTGCAATACTTGGACTAATATTTCTATAGGACCAACTAGATGTGAATTTACATAGAGTTCTAGCCTGCCATTGTGTCTAAAAGAAAGAAATTACAGAAATTTTCTTACAGACAGATTAAGAAAATTAAAATTCAGATGAGTGCATCAGTAAAAATCCATAGGAGGGGAATGACGTGCTAGGAAGACCTCATTCTTTCACACAGCCAAAGTAATGTTGCTTTTTCTCAGTGACAGTGTCACAGATATAGGATAACCACTGTTTGGAAAGATATTTGGACAGCAGTGAGGCCCTGCATCTGGGCCAAGTCAGAAGCATACTTGTGACTACTCAGTATGAGGTCACGCTGGTCAACTTCCCACAAACCCATCCCTTAGGGATAATTGCAGCGATAGTGCTCCATTGTCCTGACATTGTTCAGGGCTAATCTGCGTTGGGTAGAGCTGATCTAATTATAGCTCCTTTCACTCTCTTCTCCATCTTTTCCTTTTTATCAAGCATAACCCACCCTCCGTTTCCTTAAAGCAGCTTGTCCCAAAGGTGATTCCTCTTTTAGGAGAATTGACCTCTTTAGATATCATCATCCCACCAAAACCAGGAGCCAAAGAAAAATCACAAAACTGTTTTCCTCACCACCTGCTTCACTTGTTAATCCTCTTATCTCTTATTTCTGTCATCCTGGTCCACCTGGATTAATCTGACCATCTGTTCTTAGGCTTCAGGACTCAAAGGTTTTTTGTGTTGTTGTTGTTTTGTTTTGTGTTTGAGACTTTCACTCAACCTTGTTAACTGAATCTGTAAGAAAATAATGATAACAAAATTATCACAAAATATTGAATGCATGTTTAATGAATCTCAGGACAATTTTGGTAGATATTAGCCAAAATTTATAAAACATTGGGTCTTTAAGAATCTACTAACATAGTGAATATCAGCTAGCTAACATTAGGTAGACTAAATAAGATTCCTGTCAATCTATCTATACTGATTCCTGACATCAAAAATAACACAATATTTGATTATGATGTAATGACAGTATTATGAGACAAAGACATACCTAAGTTAAAATTCTAGCTTTTCCACTTATGAACTAACTACTTAACAAATCAATTTAGAGTTCTCATATTCTACTTTGTAGAAATTTCATAATGATTAAATAATTTATAAAGAAATAATATCTAAAATAATTGAGCAGTTATTTTGGGCATCAGCTAATTATAACTGTAATCATTTTTAAATTTTACTTTATTTTTATTTCTGATACATGTGGGTGTTATTAAATGCATACATGAATGCAATGCCCATGGATGCCAGAAGAGGGCATTAGAACACCTGGAGCTTTAGTTGTAGGCATTTTTGAGTTGCCAACTTTAGTCGTGGTCATTAAATTTAGGTTTTCTGGAAGAGTAGAAGCACCCTTATGTGTTGGGTCATCATTCTAGACTCCCAATTATTAAATCATATTAGTTACTGTTACCTTCTGTTTCTGCAAGCAAATTTTGAAAACAAAATCTATGACTTTCATATCCCATATTTTGTGGTTTATTTCTGTGTAGATCAAGGAATGTTCAAAGAAACTGGTGATGTAACATATTCCAATATGGATTAATTGTATGTATGGTTTTTGTCTGTTTTTTGGTTGTTGTTTTGTTTTGTTTGTTGTTTGTTTGTTAAGAACTTTTTTCTTTTATATATATATATATATATTTTTTTTTTTTACTATTAATTACACTTTATTCATTTTGTATCCCCCCATAATGTGAAGAACTTTTAAACCTCATTTAGGATCTTGTGCAGTGATGATGTCATCATAGTAAGAGAAAAATCTTTTCATTGTTGTTTTTTATTGGTTTACTTTTTCTCAATGTTTTTTAAATGTTCCTTTAAATTATACATTTACCTTATATACCAACAGTAGCCCCTCCTTTCTTTCTTTCCTTCCAGTCTTTCCCTCCCACACTCTTAACACTATCCTTCCTCCTCTCGTCCTCAGAAAAGGGGACCCACCCCAGCAGATGAAGTCACACAGCACTGAGTTCCTCCTCATCCATTATGGTGAAGCAAGGCAGCCTGGCTTGGGAAAAGTGATCAAGTGCAGGCAACAGAGTCCATGTCATAGATAGCACCCGCTCAGCCACTAGGGACCCACATGAAGATCAAACTGCCCATTGATTACATATGTATATAAGGCCTAGGCCCAATCTATGTATGCTTTTGGATTGGTGCTTCTTTCTCTGTAAACACCCATGGATCAATGTTAACTGACTGTCTTTTTGCAGCATTCTTATCCCCTCGAATGACTAATGTTAAGGCAGTTTAATGGCTTATTGGAGGATATATAGATATATTCCAAGTGAAAGCATTTAAGTCATTCAGATACACATGAATTGATTCTCAAAATCAAATAAACATCTGTATGTCCCGTGTCCAGGCCAAATGTGCCATTGTATCTCCTCTATGACTTAAATTTCATGTTTGCTCTTATTTTTTTTCCGTAGTTATTAGTGTGTGTGTATTTACACTTAAACATATTAAGTTGTATTTACACTTAAACATATTAAAGGTTGGTCGACCCTTTAACCTAGCTAGCTATCTCTCAGCTACACAGCCCATGTTATTTGCCCTTGCTGGGCTCAGTCTGTTTCATCCAGACATGACCTTCTAGTCCATCTTCTGTGCTTCCCTTTCTCTCTCTCTGTCTCATGGTCACCCAACCCCAGGACTGTGAACCCCAAACACCACCTCCCTTTCTTCTTCCAAACCCCAAGCTTCAGCATTTTTTAAATTTTTTATTTAACTTTTATTAATTACACTTTATTCATTTTGTATCCCCCCATAAGCCCCTCCCTCCTCCCCTCACAGTCCCCCTTTCCCCCCTTTCTGCATGCATGCCCCTCCCCAAGTCCACTGATAGGGGAGGTTCTCCTCTCCTTCTTTCTGATCTTAGTCTATCAGTTCTCAACAGAAGTGGCTGCATTGTCAGGGTTCTAGGTTATCTCCACGGATAGTCCTTTGTTAGAGTATGAGTTTTTATTAACCAGTCAATGTTAAATTAGGAAGAGCCAGGTTTACACAACAGGGAATGATGATAATGTGCTCTTCTGGGCAGCAACAAGATCCTCTGATCAAGTAATTAGCATTAGGATACATAGCACTAGACCAAGTCTCAGCAACCAATAATATTTCCCCTTCCCATTTTTTTTTTAATTAGGCATTGTCAATGCAAAAGACCAATTGATTCATATTTACTGTTGCTCAGTTTTCTATAATGTTCTATTTGTGGCCATTTGGTTGTTTTCCATGTTTTAGTTATCATACATATCTCAAATATTATATTTGTGTATGTGTATACTATATTTGTATATATTTAAATTCATTTCATTGACTATGGTAAATTGTTCTCCAAAATTCTTATGGTAGTTTAACCTCACTAATGGATTGAATTCCCATTGCTGTAATCCCTGGTAAGCACTTCATTCTGTAGGACTATATCTTCAATTAATTGTAATAGAATTTATATATAATCATTACAATTGGAATATCACTCATTTTAGTGAGATTAATCTGATGCTTATAAGCTGTTTTTCTTCCTTTTGAGAAAAACTCTTATTAATTTCCAATTTAATTTTTTTAATTTTTTCTATTCTTTATGTATCTATACAGTGCTGTTATTTTGTTTTAGATGATGTATGTTGGTATTTATATGTAATAATGTGAAATATCTCAAATTTTGCAATTCTTTCTCCCTTTCCTTCTTTTTTTAATTTTTTTTAGTTTAAGTCAATTTAATTTTATTTTTATTATTAGTTACATTTTATTAACTCTGTATCCCAGCTATATTCTACTTCCTCATTCCCTCCCAATCCCACCCTGTCGCCCTCATCTCCTCCCTGCCCCTTTCCAAGTCCACTGATTGGGGAGGGCCTCCTCCCCTTTCATCTGACCCTGTTTATCAGGTATCTTCAGGACTGGCTGCAAAGTCCTCCTCTCTGGCCTAGGAGGACTGCTCTTCCCTTGGGGGATGGGGAGGTCAAAGAGCCTGCCATTGAGTTCCTGTCAGAAATAGTTCCTGTTCCCCTTACTATGGGAAACCAATTGGTTACCGAGCTACCACAGGCTTCATCCGAGCAGAGGTTCTAGGTTATATCCATACATGGTCCTTGGTGGAATGTCAGTCTCAAAAAAGACTCCTGTGTCCAGAAATATTTCGTCCTTGTGGAGCTCCTATCCTTTCCACTTAATACTAACTCCCCTTCTTTCATATGATTCCCTGTACTCTCCCGAAAGTTTGGTTATGAGTCTTTGTATCTGCTTTGATACACTGCTAGGTAGAGTCTTTCAGAGGGCCTCTGTGGTAGACTCCTGTCCTGTTACTTGTTTCTTCCTATGTCCAATGCACCTCACATTTGTCTTTCTAAGTGAAGACTGATCATCTTACCCTGTGTCTTGTTTCTTGTTTAACTTCTTTAGGTGTATAGATTTCATTATGTTCATCATATCTTATAGGTCTATATAAGTGAGTATATACCATTTCTGTCTTTCTCCTTCTGGGATACCTCA